GGGCGGGTGGGCGAGGGGATGGCTGTTGCTAGGCAACCAGCATCCTCCGTCACTATGGCAACCCCCCATCCCAGCTGGGATGCAGCTCGCCCTGATGACGAGGTGATTAGTGGGGGGGAGCGGGGGAGGCAGGCAGGCAGCGGTGACCTGGCGGGCACCCAAACCCACCACTGTCACGCGCTGTGCCCAGGGGGCAGGGGCCAACCGTGCTGGACTCCCCGCCTTCCTTCCCCCCCACATAAATCCTTTCGCAGAGTGGGCGGGCAGCTTTGCCGATCAGCAGCAATGGAGAGCCAAAATCCCTGCGGTGCTGGGGAAGGAGGAGCCCACGAGTTGGTGGCTTCCAGGAAGAGGATGGGGACCGGGGATGGGAAGGGGAAGTGGTGAGGGAAAGCAGGGATGGGAGCAGGAATGGGAAGCGGGTGCCCCCCATGGGCAGAGCCCCACACCAGAGCCACGCAGCTCCATCCTGGGCCTTGTCTGCCTCCTTCCAGCTGAGAAATAATGGAAATTTAGGGCCTCGCCTAACAAAGAGGACGAAACAAGGCTCCCTCCACCCTGCAGCACCCATAGCCCCTGATCTCCTCCCAGCCCTGCTCTTGCAGTGAGCCACAGATAATTGCACCAACAAGATTGACTTTAATCCGCACATCCAAATCCCGCTAATCGGCCGCCTGAGCCAGCGCGGCTCCCAGGCTGGAGGCAGCCGGGCGGCTTCACAGCGCTGAAAAAGGTGGCAGCTCCAGCGCTGGCGCTGCTCTGTTCCCCCAGGGACAGGGCTGCAATGTGGGGGGCTGCAGGCAGGACCGGGGGGGTTCATAAGGCAGAGGGAACAGGATGCAAAAGTAGGGCACAGCCAAGGCAGAGCAGCCAGGGCACCCGCTGCCTGCCGCCCACCCCCAGCCTCTCCCACGCAGGGCAGCACCCCGAGCACAACGCTGCTGCTGGCACCCAGAGGTTCTCCTGTGGCTCAGCACTGTGGGCACTGCCCTCGAACAGCCCCTGTTCCTGCATCAGGAAGGACAGTTCCAGTGTCCCCAGCCCGGCGCAGAGCCCAGAGCATCACCGTGAGCAGGGACCAACAGCACCACGACCCCATGGACCTCCTCCTCCCATGCTTCCATCCTGCCATGCAGCTTCCCCAGCACCTGAGCTGTGAGATCACCCACAGGTGATGTAGGGACAGGCAGGGAGCAGGGATGCTTGTGACTGGAAACTCCCCATCACTGCCAAGGGGGCAGAGCCCACTGCCCTTCTGCAGCCCCTATTGCTCTGTGCTAGACCACAGCGGTTCTCCCGCAGCTGCCTGCCCCCCATGTGGGGTCAGAAACAGGGGGTGCCCTGTTCTGCCTGCCCCGACCCAGGCACATGTGTTTCCAATGTGGCTGCGAGCTCCAGGGAGTCAGCGTGCTCAGAAAGCAGCACCAAATTCCTTTCCTATCGAGTAATGGGCCCCAGCAGCCTCCGCGAGGCTGGGAGGGGGAGGGGAGCCTCGGACCCTCCAGGACTGGGCTGGGGCGGGGGAAATCCCAGACTAAACATCCCCTGGCCACGGGGATCCCGGCATCCCCCGAGCCAGCCTAGAACTGCACTCCAGCACAGTGTCCTCACAGCCCCAGCTCACCCTGCCCAGCGCCAACATTTGGGGACAGTCCCACCAGCCACGATGGGCATGTGGTCCCCCTGCACCGCTCCCCATACCTCACTGAGGGTGGACACTAGGCCCTGCAGTGGGGATGCTGCTGCTGCTGGCACCGAGCACCACTGGTGATGGTGGACTGGAGGAGATGGGGAGCATGGGGCTCAGCCATAACAAAGGAGCTGTGGGGTTCAGTGCTGGAAGAGGGGTGGCCCACTCACAGCGCTTGCCTTCCCGGGAACCAATTCTGCTGCTCTCAGCAGCTCCGGCAGGGAGCTTTGCAGCGGATGCTGGGAAGCCAGATGTACCCTGGGCTGACAGCTGCCTCCTGGCCACCGACATGCACCGCACTCACCCACTGTGCCGCAACCAGGGCTGTGGGGACCTGGAAAGTGGGACTGGTGGGGAGGGGGCAATGCTCAGGCCCACGCCAGTGGACACCCACCAGGAGAGCGCACGCAGCCTGGCAGGAGCTCAGCACGCATGGCACACACCAGTACCAGCTTCTGGGTTGCCCACAGCACCCCCACGTGAGCACCCAAGGGACAAGGACAGGGGGTCCTGGAAGGCAGCTGGGGGCTGGGAGGTGGCAGCAGTGGGGCAGTGGTGGGATTTGCTCCCGTAGCAAAGCTGCATTGTAGCCTGGAACCACCAGGCTCCCAGCACAGGCTGCCAGAGGGACCGGGCTGCAGGTGGAACACCCCAGGGTGCCCCCATCCCCTGCCCCTGCCCACCGCATCCCAGCCCCAGGGCACCCCGCACAGCCCTCCCGGGGACCAGGCACCCAGAGCTCCCCCCGGGGCTGTGGGAACCGGGAGCAGTGGGGCCCCTGTTCCCTCACAGCTGCGGGCCTGGCTCTGCCGGGACCAGGCTAAGGGCTCCCCGTCCCCCCCAACCCACCAGCGGTTCCAGACAATGGCAAAACTCCGCCACATCCCAGTACCGGGCCCAGCATCGAAAGTCCCCCAAGCCCTTCCCACCCGCCGCTCCCCACGCGCGGTGCCGCCGGGAGAAGGGAGATTGGGGGTTCGGAACGGGGCCCCCGGTGCCCCCACGTGCCGCCCGGCGCAGACAAAGCGGGGCCGCGCCCCGGCCCGGTGCGGTGCGGTGCGATGCGGCGGGCAGGTGCGGGCACCGGGGGCGGCGGGCCGGGCACACCCCCTCCGCCGTCCCGCCGGCCCCGCCCGCCTTTGTGTACCGGGGCTCCGGGCCCGGCGCAGGTGGCGGGGGGCGGCAAGGCGGCGCGGGGGGCGCAGCGCGGGGCGCGGTCCCGGTAGTGGCGGCGGCGGCGCGCTCGGTGCACCGGGCGGCTCCGCGCACAAAGGGCCCCGGGCGGCGGGGACAAAGGGGCGGCGGCGGCGGCGGGCGCGCTCACCAGTCGGTGGGGCTGTCCTCGCCGATCACGTCCTGGTAGGAGGCGAGCAGCTCCAGGCGGTGCGCCGCGAAGCCGACGCCAGCCATGGCGGGGCCGGGATGCTGCCGGGGGACCGGAGGGACCGGCCGCCTGCCCGCCTCCGAGACACTGCCGCAGCGGCCGGGCGGAGGGGCGAGCGGCGGGGAGGCTCCGCCCGCCGCCGCGCCCGGTCCTAGCGCCGCGAACGGCGGCCCCCCCTCCGCCCCGGCCCCCGCCCCGGCCCCCGCCCCCGTCCCGGCCCCCGCTGCTCCCCCGGGGCGACCCCTGGGGCACCCCCACCAGCACCCGCCGCGGGGCAGAGCTCCCGGAACGGGGTGCTGAGCTCGACCAGAGGAGCTGCTCTGCACCCATGGCCCCAAATTGCGGCTGCGCTCCCTCTGAGCACCCCAAATTGCGTGGATGCGCCCTCGGTCCCGCTCTGCCCAGGGATCCCCGTGGCCTCAACTTCCCTCAGCCCGGGCGCCCACAGCCCCAGAGCTTTCACCTCCAAAGACCCCGCTCTGCCATCTCTGCCCCGTGCGTGCCGTTGTGCCCTCGCTTCTCCGGGCCCAGCCTTTGTGGGGTTGCCAATAGGATGAAGGGGACCCCTCCATCCCTTCTCATTCCAGCTGCTGTCAAATGTATCCCTCTGTTCCCAACCCACCCTGGGCCCCTCCAGCCCTCGACACGGACATCATCTCCCCCAAGCTGTGCCTCTGCGTGAACCCACAAAGTTCCTTCCAAGCTGACCCCGTCTGCGGTTCCGGGGTGTAGCGGTCCCCATTTGCTCCCACATGGGTCAGCGTCCTCCTGCGAGGGACAGACACGGCCTCACGCTGCCCGTCCCACGTCCCCATCCCAGGCAGGAGCCGTGCTCGCAGAAGCCCGAGCAGAGAACTACGGGGTCCCTGCAAATCAGGGCACCGTGCCCGTGGGCGCAGCCCGCGCCCCTAAGCGCAGCGGGACGCAGCGCTGCTCCCTGCCCACGCCCTGCTCGCAGCACTTCCCGAGCCGGAGCCGCCCTGCGAGGCTGCGGGAGCTGGGCAGCAGCTGTCGAGCAGCTGCCGGCCGGGGCCGCCCCGCGAGCGGCTCGGCTGCCTCGGGGTGGGGGTGGGGGCGGCGCGGGGAGCCGCGGAGCCGCGGGGCTTTGTTCTCGGAGCGGAGCGGCGCGGCCCCTCCCCGGGCTCCACCTCCGCAGCCCACCCGCGACCCTCCTTCCTGTGCGCGGTGAGGGCGGGGGCCGTCAGGAGGGAGCGGGAGGCGGCGGAAGGGCAGAAGCGCCGCCGGGTGCGGGGGGGATTCGCCACCTGCAGAAGGGCGAGCTCGGGTTCCGGCTCCTGCCCCCAGCAGAACGTTCCAACGGATGAGCGAGGCGATTTTCCTTACCGTTGCTCATCACTTTATTACTGACCGCTACGGCTGTCAGATCGGAGCGCTGGGAGCGGCCGTCCCCACATGCACTGCTCCGGAGCCCGCTCCAGGGCGGCGGTGCCTCGCGCCCGTCCTTCGGGACAGCAGCTGTGCTAACGGGCGGACGGTTGGCTGCGCTACGCCGAAGCACGGCCAGAACCGCTGTGCTCGAGCTGCTCGTGCCGGTGACTCGACCCCTGCATGGGCGCTGAGGCACGGCAGGGACACAGGGACAACGCTGGGTAAGTGGGGATGCCCTTGTGGGGTCGCAGCTCAGCACCATCTCCTGCTCAGCGCTGTTGTTGCTCTGCCGCCTGGATTAATTACTGCCTCCCTGCTCTCTGCTTGCTGAAACCAGGCAAGGGCAACCCAGGGGCACGGGTTCTGCCAGGGGCCAAAGGAGGAGAAACCCCAGGAAACAAAGCTTTCCCTAGCAGCTCGGTGGAGCTGAGTCAGGCCACAGGGCAGAGCTCCAGGCAGGAGCAGGGTGAGGGCCACGTGTGACCTTCCTGGCCCCACCACACCACGCTCAGGCAAAACCACAGTCCCCAAACAGTGGGCACTCGCAAAAAAGTGTTTATTCAAGGCACTAAAAGCACCGTGGCTACATCAAATGCAGCCCAACCGGAGGGTGGGGGTTTGGGAGAGGCATTTACAGTGCTGGGATAGCGGTGGCACACGCTCTTTGGTAGGAAGCAGTTTTCAAGCCTGATGGGAACCCATTAGCCAGAGGCTGGTGTGCGCTCCCAGCCCACAGCCAGGGCAGGCATGGCACACAGTCCTGCTCCATGGCACGGTGGTGCTGCCACTAGACAGCCCCACGGCCCTCCCAGCCCCATGTCATGCAGCCATGTGGGGCTGGGTAGGAAACCACGGCAGCAGTTTGCTGGGCTGTGGGGTCACTGTGGGCAGGGGGAGAAGAGCCAGTGCTCAAGTCCCATGCGCTGAGTATGAAGCTGGGGAGGTGAGGGAAGAGTTTGGCAGAGGCTGGGGGCTAGGAGCATCCCTGCCCTGGTGCTGAGTGCCAAGGCAGCTGGGCCCCATCAAAGCAAAGGAGCAGCTCTGCTGCAACCAGACCCTCCCCAGCCACAGCCTCAGCACAAGCATTGTGCTGTGCAGCCTCAGGGCAGGAGACCTATGTGGCATCCCCTTCCCCAGGCTCCTGTGTCAGCTAGGGGGGCACAAAAGAAGCCAGCCAGATGGAAGGGGCCAGTGCTGATTCTGCCAGGGCCCAGCCAGGAGTTGCCAGGAAAGAGTCAGGAGCAAGGGGAAGGGGTGAAGCCTCAGCCTGGCTCCCTGGGTCAGGGGAAGGGGTGGGAAAGGAGCATGCAGGAGCAGGGGCATGCATGGGCACAGCTGAACTCTTGCCCCTCACACGTGGGAGAAAGCATGGCTCTTGCACAGCGGCTTGTCCTTCTTGGAGTAGAATGTCTTCCCTTCCAGATTGGTCTGGCAGATCTGGGGAGGAGAACACAGGCAGTCAGGAGGGCTGAGCCAGCCTCCAACATCCCCTCCCATGCTGAGCCCTAGCCATCAGCCCAGAACAGATGTCAGGGAGCAACAGGCTGAGCCACCAGGACAGAGCCAGGTGGGGAAAACCTGACGGCAGCATGCACCCCATGTGAGACACAGCTCACAGCAGGGGGAAGCAGGTAGGCACATGGCTCACCGCGCAGACGAAGCAAGTGTCATGCCAGCTGAAGCCCAGCGCCTCCAGGAACCGGTCCCCAGCATCAATCTTGAAGTCACAGCCACGACACTTGGTGCCAAACATCTTCTCATAGTCTGTGAGCATAGGCAGAGCACAGGTCAGTGGTTCCTCCAAGACTGCAACCCTTCATTCCTGTGCAGCAGGGCTGCAGCACATCCCCGGGACAACTTGCTTCCAGGACTTGAAGCACACGAAAGCACTGGGCACATGGGGAAAGGTGGACCTTGCCACCACTGGGCCACAGGGAAGAAGTGAGTCTCCCCAGTCAGGATTCATATTTGATGTAAATCATCCATCATCACCATGGCAACACGCCAGCAATGGCACCATCCAGCACCAGGAAGGATAGGAATGGAAGGTTCACGGGGGTCCCCTCCCTTCCCTGAATCCTGGGGAGAGCTCCACAGCAATTCAATCCTCGGTCCTACCAGTGGGCAGTACCCCGGGGCTGCGTGGGGTGACGTGGGTCCTCCCCTGGTCCTACCTCTCTCACAGTAGGGCTGTCCCTCCTCCATGTAGAAGGCACGGTTGCGGATGGGAGTTTTGCAGGCTGCGCAGGTGAAGCACTGCACGTGCCAGGTCATCTTCAGCGCATGCATGACCTCCTGGAAGAGAACTGCTATCAGCCAGGAGGGAGCACCCCACACCACAGGGAACCCCCACAGAAGGCTGAAAGGAACAGGAGATCCCTGCAGCAGGACGAGAAGGGACAGAGCTGGGGACACACGGGTAAGCAGGGCGCAGGGATGGGAGGTGCAGGCAGACTGAGGGACACTCACCCCAGTGATCTTCTTCTTGCACTTAGCACAGCTGGGCGCATAGCGCGTGTCGTAGCACTTGGGGCAGAAGATGGAGCCCTTTTCCTCGAAGAAACCACCCTCATCCAGCACCTTCCTGCATTGGCAGCAGGTGAACTCCTCGGGGTGGTAATAATGTCCCAGTGCCACGAGGTAGCGTCCTCTGTGGTGGAACAGAGCCGCATCAGCCACAGCGGGGCCTGGCAGTGCCCAGGACGGCGGCAGGGCTGCAGAGGCCAGGGCTCACCTGATGATCTTGTTGCACTTGTAGCAGAGGGGGGTGCGGCCGGGGCCCTCAGGTGCCTGCTGAGCTGCCTGCACGATGGAGCTGCGGTTCTGCATGGGGGTCGGGGTGGCCGGCTGGCTGTGCTTGCTCAGCACTGTGCTTGTCTTGTCTGGGGCGTAGCGCTCAGCAAATGAGGGGTCCACAGCCCAGGGTGGGCGGCTGGTAGGGCCAGGGGTGGCAGCAGGGGTCCTGGAGGCTGCATAAACAGAAGCTTCTTGAATGATGTTCCCAAGCCCTTTGTATCCATTGGTAAGCAAGATGCATCCACCAGAACCAATCCTACCCATATCCCCACTCCCCTTGCCCCAAACTCAGAGAAAACATTTTTTCTCACCCAATCCTGGTTCTGTCTTCATTGCTGCTCCCGGGGACGGGTCCGGTACGGAGACCTGGCTGCAAAACAACCAGTTAATCCTGCTGGCCACACTCACCCCCAGGACGCAGGCTGGCTTGTGCATGCAGGCAGGACCCCCACTCTGCAGCCAGGAGCTGGCCAAGTCCACATGCCCAGCCAGTAGCTAGTTTGGTGCTGGGCATCGAGCCAAGCGCCTTCAGCCCCACAGCATCCCCAGGTCTGTGGCACCCAGCAGGTTGGGAGCACAGGACCACTGTGCCCTAATGCTGAGGTGCTGTGGGCTGGCCAAGGACTTGGGGCATCACACACAATACTACTTGCTCCAGTGTGACAGTGTCCAGGCACACCTCCACCTCACACACAGCATCTGGTAGTGTGGGGAGCCCTGGGCCAGCTCCAGCAGAGCCAGGAAGAGCAGGGATGGGTTGGTACAACAGGGGGCAAAGTCTGTGCCCCCCCCTGCACCCTGCCAGCACTGGACTTATAAGAAGCCAGGGCAAGCAGCACCCAGAGGAGCAAGGACAGTGTCAGATGGAAAGCCAGTGCCTTTGTGCCTCTTGAGGGCAAGGACAAGAAGGAGCTAGCTATAAAAACACAAGTGTTTAACTGCAACAGAGCAAACCAGGCAGATCTGGTCACGGCATGAAGGCAGGAGGGATGGTGAAAAGGCAAAGCTGTGCCACAGCCCTAGCCTGTGTCCTTCCTTGCTTCCATGCAGGGCCTCGAGCCTCAGGAGCTCACCCACTGATCTCTAAAAGATGCACAGCACCTCCCAACACCCCCAGCAGGGTCTGCCAGTGCCAGCACACTCCTCCTCACCCCAGCTGCCCAAGAGACCACAGTGCAGCTCATCCACCCCAGCGCAGTGCCAGCAGTGCCCAAAGGCCTGGATACACAGTCCAGGAATCTATGCTTGCACCCCCCTTACCTGGGCTTTTTAATAAATACATCATCATCTTCCACTGAATGCAGCGGGAAGAAAGGAGGAGACAGGGTCAGTCGGCGGCAGCACGGCCCCACACGGCACGAAGGGACGAGAAGCGGGCAGCCCTCCCTGCTTCCCCCACACCAGCACCCCGGGCACCACACACACACGGCCAACACACAAACAGCACAGGAACATCACGGCCCGGTGCCACTTCAACCCACAACAGCAGGCAGCTCCAGGCAGCCCCAGACCCACAGGGACTTACGGCCATCAGTGCCCGTCAGCTGGGCCAGTTTGCGGAAGGAGCGGGACTGGGAGGTGCCGGTGCGGGGC